CAAATGCAGTTAAGCAAACTTCATTAGCTTATTACACATAAATAAATTTAGCCCATGCATTTGCAAAAGCTGAGTAGCAGATGTGGCCTGATCAGAATAGGTCACACAAAAGCTATATAAAAAAAAGTGTTTTATTACATTAGAAATGTGAAAAACAACTATAAATAAAAAACTATATAGATGTTCGTTAGTTTGTTTTTTAAGCACTTAATTTTCCAGTAGCTTATGCACTTTTCATATGTTTATAGACCATCTGATTAGGCATGAGCCGATAAAAGATTTTGATTATATGATAAACTTGGATAAAAATTATCATGGTCTTACGGTTTTGTGAGTACTGATTTAAAAAAATCTATTCTTTTTAAATTTCTGGGTAAAAAACAAAAACTTTTTTCCCATTTAAACAGAATATATTTTAATTTGAGAAACGTTTAAAATAATTGAAGCAGTAAACATGTCAAGCTAAATCATGGGTGTCCAAACTCTAGTGTCCAGCAGAGTTTTGCTCCAGCTTGCTTCAACACACATGCTAGGAAGTTTCTAGTATATCTAGAAAGAGCTTGACTAGCTGGTTCAGGTGTGTTTGATTAGGGTTAGAACTAAACTCTCCAGGACATCGGCCCTTCAGGACCGAGTTTGGATACCCCTGGGCTAAATAATTCAATTGAAACATTGACTTCTGCTGTCTTCATTAGTTTCAAAAACACAAATTTAATTGAAATTTAAAACAGCATCTTTGGAGATACTGTTGCATAAAAAAACAAAATGTAAAAAACAGTATACTGATACCTTAGAAACGGTATAGCGGAAAATTTTGGCTGTTTTAAAACCTTGACTTTTCCAAACTGCAGTATACCTTGAAAACAGGTATCGTCATATGCCTAAATCTGATAGTTTTTTTTTTCAGCTTTGTGTCTTCAGAATCACACAACTGTCAGTTTTCTGAAATGAAGAATTGTACACCCTCTGAAAGCTGAATAAATAAGCTTCCGTCAATATTTGGTTATGATAGGTCAATATTTGGCTGAGATAAAATTATTTGAAAACCTGTGATCCGCGGGTTCGAAAAATCGAAGTAAAAAGGAAATTGTCTTTAAAGTTGTCTATAATAAGTGCTTAGCAATGCACAATGCTTATCGATAATTCAGTTTTGTTATACTTACAGTGGACCTTTTAAAAATATATTCACAATATCGAATTTTTACTTAATAGTCTAATAATTTTAGGCATAAAAGACAAATCAATCATTTTGATCCATACAATTGTAAATATATATCAGATTCCAGATTTACAAATAGTTGTGCCTCAGCCAAATATCCAATCCTAACAAAGTATATATAAATGGAAAGTATATGTATTCCGCATATAAATAATGCATATATCTCAGTTTCCAAAAATGTACATTTATTACTGGTTTTATCCTGCTGGGTCACATACAGTTTAATAAACTTATAAAACAGTATATTATCAAAATGTAAAATTCCTTAAATAAATTTTTTTAGATGTCTTGACAGCAACTGTACAATGACTAACTAAGAGTAAGGAGTGAGTAAATAAAGACAGTTTTTTTTTAATAATAATAAAAAACCCATCAATATTTTGAAGCTACATGAAATTAGTGTACTCTATATAAAAGTTGATCTTGGCTTGGTTTCAGCTCTCTGTTGAAAATAACATGCATGAAGATAATCTGTGCAGCGTGAGTTTTGTGCTCCAGATTCTGCAAATGTGTATTAAGAAACTTTTTTTTTTGTAATAGCAGGCTGTAGCCAGCCTGGTGAAAGAGGTGGTTCTTTTTTCTTTTAAAAAAAGTGGATTTTTTTCTGTTATTCATCAATTTTATATTTCTAATTATGAGGTTTAAATAAGTTTTTTTTCTTCACATTTTAAACACATTTTTTGATGGATTAGATTGTTGGATGGTCATCATAGCTACACTTTTTGATGTACCAAAAACATTTCCTAAAGATTTACATCAATTATCATTTACAGCATATATAGTAGTCAACATTTGACGTGGATCAAAACCTTTCTTCAAAGTTGTCCTAAATTTGGTAACCAGCACCCATTCCTTTCTTATAAGACATATTTGAAAAATCTTTTTTGATCCACTTCGAATATTGACTACTGTACATCAATGGCATCATATAATATTGAAGAAAAAAATAGGAATCTGTTAAAGTTTTAAACTAAAAACTAGCCTATTGTCATTTAAATATCAATCATTTAAATAGCAATCTGGCCAGCACATTCAACTTCCCTTAGTCACGTTGAAACTTGGTGTTAAAGCCTTCTACGATGGATTATTTTCACTACTTATGATGGCATAGCAGTCAATATAGGGCAAATGAGCTCATGTATGGGACAAATTCTGGACCTTTTTCAGTGAGGGGTGGGTCTTTCGAACCACCTGGACCCCCCTTGGCTACAGGCCTGTATAGTTTACTATAGACGACTGCTTATTTAATAAAAGCACTAGAATATCTTCAGATCAAGGCAGTTAAATAATTGTGATTGCAATTGACCCAAAACATAATATAAGAATTGAGCCGCAGAGTAAAAAAAAGCAGATTTTTATTCATGTTTGTGTTCTCTACTGTAGTACTCTCAGTCTCTAGTGAACTTCTGGAGGACTTTAGCATCTGTGAATCTCCCAGAATCTGACTGACAATGTGAAAAAGCTTAGGAAAACATGTCATGAGTAATGCACAAGCTAAATACTTCACTTTGCCTCTTGAGAGGAGCTCTGCACAGCTGGGTCTTAAGATCAGCTTATGAGAAGATGTTTCTTTGTGCTCTTAAATGGTTTTGGATGTATTGTCTTATTACAAACACCTAAAAGATTGTTTGGGTATAGTGTTCAGACAAACTGACAAAAGCTAGATTAAAGAAGTGGGAAACACTTTAGGATAAGGATTTATTATTTAATGTATTTGATATGAATAATCTCGTAAAGCATTTATTAATCATAGTTCAACATTAACTAATTATTATTATTATTATTAAAATGCCAATGCTATGCTCATTAATATTAGTTAATGCACTCTTTTAACATGAACTAATGTTATTTAACTTAGCATTAACTAACGTTAACAAAGATGAACAAGTACCATAATGAATGCATTACTAATTGTTTGTTAATGTTAGTAAATACATTATTCATTCATTCATTTTCTATTCAGATTAGTCCCTTTATTCAACACACACTCATTCACACACATACACTACAGCCAATTTAGTTTATTCAATTCACTCATAGCGCTTGTCTTTGGACTGTGGGGGAAACCCGAAGGGAAGCCCACGCAAACACAGGGAGAACATGCAAACACCACATAGAAATGCCAACTGACAGCCGAGACTTGAACCATTGACCTTCCTAAATACATTAATTAACATTAACTAATGGACCATTATTTTAAAGTGTTGCCAATAAATGTGCATAAAACATGAGTATTTAAAAAAATAAAGAGTAAAAAAAAAAGAGTTAAAAAAGTATTTTACATATGTAAGCAAACGACGGTTTACAGTACTGTATTGATTGATATTTCTTGACTGATAGCTTTTGTAGCAATTCATAACTAACAAATGACCAGACAACAGTCAGACAAATTAAAAAATAAATAAATAAATAAATAAAAAAAAACAAGGGTTCAAAAATCTAAATACTTAGCAAATTGCCTTTAAAGTTGTCTAAATTAAGTGCTTAGCAATGCACAGTGCTTATCGATAATCCACTTTTGTTATACTTACAGTAGGAACTTTTAAAAAATATTCTCAATAATAATAATCAGATTCCAGATTTTCAAATAGTTGTGCCTCAGCCAAATATTCCATCCTAACAAATATATCAATGGAAAGTAAATGTATTCAGCATATAAATAATGCATATATCTCAGTTTCCAAAAATGTACATTTATTACTGGTTTTGTCATGCTGGGTCACATACAGTTTAATAAACGTATAAAAACAGTATATTATCAAAATGTAAAATTCATCAAATAAATTGCTATTATATGTCTTGACAGCAACTGTACAATGACTAACTAAGAGTAAAGAGTGAAGACAGACAGAATTGCAGTTTTTGCAGAACTGCAGAATTGACAACAGTCAGACAAGTTGAAAAGGGGACATTTGGGCATAATAAAGGATTCATTGATTAAACATTAAAATCAATTAAATGATAGACAGATGTATTAAACTGAACGATAAGAGATGCAAATTAGAAGTTTGGTAGTAATTGCTTTTTGAAAGGCAGTTACTGTAAATAAAACATTATTTAGATGAAACACTTATTTTGCATAGTGAAAGTCATATTTAGTGATTTTGTCAATTGTACTAACACAGCTGAAACATTTTTTTAAGGTTAAAAGTTGTTTTAAGAAAGATAAATGTTTCATAGTGCAGTTCAGAGGCATACATAAAAATAAAAAAAATGTTAATCCCAAAATGTGGAGAATTGCTAATTTATGGTTATTTTTTACAGTGTACAGGCTAAAATTTTAATTTATTTAATATTTACTTGTGGTTCCAGACTTTAATGAGTTCATTTCTTCTGTTAAATGCTAACGAAGAAATTTAGAAGAAACCTAAGTTCAGGTAACCATTGGCTTTTAAAGTAGAAAGAAAACTGAGGTTGAAGATTTCCAGTTTTCTTAAAAGTAAATTATTTTGAGTTCAACAGAAAAAAGAATTGTATTAAAACAGTTAAAAAAATATGGTAAAATGTTTGACAAAAAGTGTTTTTTGATAATCTGCTTTCATAAATGTTGTAAGAATTTTGAAAATATACCAATTTTGTGTGAAAATGAACTAATATTTATTATAACCAATAATAAAAAAAATGTAATCAGCTCTGGATTTGATTTGTTTGGTGCACCTGTTTTGGAAGTTTCTGAGTTGTGTAGACAAGCAATACGTTCTATTTCATTCTCAACTCTCTTCTTTCAAAACTGCACATGTTTTGCATGTTGTAATGCCGAGATTTGTTTATGTTCATGCAGTAACGAAAGAGATGTGAACTTGCTGACGACTGAACAGGCAGGGAACTTCTGCAGAAATCCAGACAAGGACAAACACGGCCCGTGGTGTTACACCAACAGCTCATCCATCCCCTGGGATTACTGTTCTCTCAAACCCTGTGAGTGAAAAACAGGCCGTCTGTGCTAACATTACAACCTGACTCAGGCCTTTGGGTTCATTGCAAACTCAGCTTGAAACATGAAGAGCCGTATATGCAAGCTGAGGAGTAAACCACTGAACTTGCAGTAATTATTAAGAGTCTGTCTGCTTAGATGCTTTTTATGCATTCAGCTTTCTTTAAAGGATAGTTCATCCAAAAAAAATTTATTTTGTCATCTCACCCTTGACTTGTTTCAAACCATTATGTGTTTCTTTCTTCTGTTGAACACACAGTGAGATATTTTGAAACATGTTGGAAACCAGTAACCATTGACTTCCATAAAGGATTTTAGCTATCTTCAGAATATTATCTTTTGTGTTCACCAGAATAAAGACAGTCATAAAGGTTTGTAAACACTTGAGGCTAAGTAAATAGTGAGTAATTATTATATATATTTTTACCTGTTCCTATTCATCTTTATTTGAAAATCGGAACAAATGTTATAAGACTTTTATAGAATAAAAGTCCTCACATGGATGTCAGACATTTTTATAAAGTGCATCCGGAAAGTATTCATAGTGCTTCACTTTTTCCACATCTATTTATGTTACAGCCTTATTCTAAAATGGATTAAATTAATTTATACCCCAATTAACAATACCCTATAATAACAATGTGTAAAAAGTTTATTAAAAATAAAAAACCTGAAAAATCACATGTACAGAAGTATTCACAGCCTTTGTCATGAAGCTCTAAATTGAGCTCAGGTACATTCTGTTATCACTGATCATTCTTGAGATGTTGCAGCAGCTGCATTAGATTTCATCTGTGGTAAATTCAGTTGATTGGACATGATTTGGCCAAGAAGGCATACACCTGTCTATATAAGGTCCCAGGGTTGACAGTGCATGTCAAAGCACAAACCAAGCATGAAGACAAAGGAATTGACTGTAGACCTTAGTGACAGGATTGTCTTGAGGTACAGAGTTGAGGAATCCACCACTCAAGCCTGTATGGTAGAGTGGCCAGACGGAAGCCACTCCCTGCCTGCAATTTGCCAAAATGCATCTGAAAGACTTTCAGACCATAGAGAAACAAAATTCTCTGGTCTGATGAGAATAAAATTGATCTTTTGGAGTGAATGCCAGGCGTTACGTTTGGAGAAAACCAGGCACCGCTCATCACCAGGCTAATATCATCCCTACAGTGAAGCATGGTGGTGGCAGCATTATGCTGTGGGATGTTTTTCAGCAGCAGGAACAGGAAGACTAGTCATGATAGAGGGAAAGATGAATGCAGCAATGTACAGAGACATCCTAAAGGAAACCTGCTTCAGAGTGTTCTTGACCTCAGACTGGGGCGACGGTTCATCTTCCAGCAGGACAATGACCCAAAGCACACCGTTAAAATATCAATGGAGTGGCTTCACAATAACTCGAGGAATGTCCTTGAGTGGCAAGCCAGAGCCCAGACCTAAATCCTATTGAACATCTCTGGAGAGATCTGATAATGGCTGTACACCGTCGCTTCCCATCCAACCTGAGCTTGAGAGGTACTGCGAAAAGAAATGGGCAACAATTCTTAAAAACAGGAGTGCCAAGCTTGTGGCATCATAGTCAAAAAGACATGAGGCTGTAATTGCTGCCAAAGGTGCATCAACAAAGTAGTAAGCAAAGGTTTTGAATACTTCTGCACATGTGATTTTTCAGGTTTTTTATTTTTAATAAATTTGCAACAATTTTAAAAACTCTTTTTTTTTACATTGTCATTATGGGGTATTGTGTGTAGAATGTTGAGATCTCTAATATTTTGTGTTAAATAGAAAAATAGAAAGCCAAACAGGCTTTTTTTTATTATTAAAATAAAACTATCAAGTTGTATACACAGTACAAAAATGCCCATATTTTTGACCACACTGCTGTATCACATGTGCTTTTCTGTTGATTTTGCCCTCATCACTGACACTGCAGACACTGCATTTTAGGCCATGTGCTATGAATCTACATACGGCACATCAATCACTCGCACACACACACACACACACACACACACACACACACACGCACGCACGCACGCACACGCACACACACACACACACACACACACACACACACACACACACACACACTCACAAACACACACACACTCTTGCAGTTTAATTAAAGAGTGTAAAGTCCAGGTGGCTTAGACTGTTAACACTTAGTCTGTCTCTGTCACACACACAAATACACACACACATGCACACAGATATGTAAAAGAGTCTTTAAAAAGTGTCCCACATGCTACTCATGCAAAAAAAAAAATCTATTAAAAATAATTATT